GCTTTCTAACATAGAGAACCAAAGTTCTGGATCTGACGGGATAAAAACTGGCATTTTCACTGCAACACGATCGATGGACGTTGCACTTCCTGACACGCACTTCTCGGTGGCCATAGTTATGTTTATACAATGTTCGTCCAATTTGGCAAAAAGTAAAATGTTGATTACACTTTTATCGGGGTCACCACTTTAGCGCCTTTAATAAAAGCACTAATAATTTTTGTACCAAAAGGAACGTAACACAAAACAAAACACAACACAAATGAAGAATATATACAAAAGTTTAATAAGACTGAACAACACACAAAAACAACATAAGAACAACAACAAATAATAACAATATAAAACACTTACGAATTATCAAGAGGTAGACTGGTTACTGGTTACTGTACACTGGTTAATAAGTAGGAAATTTGAAGGGTATTTATACAACAGGATTGTTAGTAAATAGTTAGTCAATTCCGGTTCCGTTTTCTGTTCTTCTGCGAGCGCTTTGTAATCTAGGCCAGTGTGCAGTTCTTCAACACGAGATAAGGCATCCGCAACGATGTTGTCTGCGCCAGATATGTGCCTGACGTCACAGGAAAATTGTGCAATGAAATCCAGATGCCTGACCTGCCGTGGAGAACATTAGTCGTGCTTCTTCATGAACGCGTAGGTTATCGATTTATGGTCTGTATAAATCGTAAATGGTCCTCCCTCTACCATGTACCGAAAATGTTTAACCGCAAGATAAATGGCCAACAATTCTCGATCGTAAGCGGCGTAATTTTGCTCGGTCTGACTTAATTTCTTGGAGAAGAAATGCAATGGTTGCCAATGGTCGTCGACGCGTTGCTGCAGGACAGCTCCGATAGCGTAATTCGAGGCGTCTGTGAAAATTGCTAGGGATGAGTTCGGTTTTGGATGGGCCAATAACGTAGCTTGCGAAAGGGCGTTTTTACAAGCTTCGAAAGCTCGTGTAGCTACCGGTGTCCACGACACAGGGTGATTCCCTTTTACGTTGCCTTGTAAGAGGTCATTGAGCGGTGCTTGAATTTCTGCTGCCTTCGCAATGAATCTTCGGTAAAAGTTTACCATCCCTAGGAACTGGCGAAGCTTCTTCACGGTCTGTGGTAGCGGGAAGGAACGAATGGCGCCCACCTTATCAGGTAACGGATGCGTACCAGCACCGGAAACTACGTAGCCAAGAAATTTCACCTCCGGCTGGCCGAATACACATTTGGACGGGTTAATTATTACTCCATCTTCTTGAAGTCTCCCGAATAGAGTTCGTAGATGGTCCAGATGTTCCTCCAACGACGTAGACGCAACCAGAATGTCATCGATGTAGGCATAGCAACAGTCTAGGCCATGCAGAACTTCATCGATGAAGCGTTGAAAGGTTTGCGCTGCATTGCGTAAACCAAAGCTCATGTGCGTGAACTCAAATAAACCGAATGATGTTGTAATTGCGGTTTTCGGGACGTCCTGTTCGGCAACTGGGATCTGGTTGAAGGCACGTACCAGATCTATGGTCGAAAATATGGTTTTCCCGCTTAGTGACTGTGAAAAATCCTGGATGTGCTTCACAGGATACCGGTNCTGTTCAATTTCCAACGAACAAAGTGATGTACATATCCAAGTTATTTCATATCAAATTTACATTTCAATTGCTGTTTTATTTTTTTTCCTGTTTCTGCATTATTATAAAATAATAGCAAGTCATGGACATATATAAGTACAAATAGAATAATTCCGCCATAATTTTTGTGGTGTATACATGGGTCCTCAAATGTACTTTTTAGTCCTAATTCCTTTAACATAGATGTTAGTTTCAAATTACATTGTCTGCTTGATACCATAAATGGGTTTATTTAATTTGCAAACATTTTCTCCATATTCATAAGAAGGTAGTTGAAGCATGTGTCAATGTCACCTTGTATGAAAGCAGTAACTGCATCCATCTGTTCGATGAATAAATTGCGTTTGACAACCAATGCTAATAAATGTCTAATTGAAGTATGATGAACTACTGGAGCAAATATCTCATTGCAGTCAATTCCCTTTTTCTGGATAAATCCTTTAATGACCAGTCTTGCTTTGTATCGTGCAATCTCCTTCAGCATTAGTTTTTATTTTATTAACCCATTTACACGGAATGGCTCTTTTACCTTCTGGTAATGTAACTAATGTCCATGTATTGTTTTTCAGGAGCGACCCATATTCATTATTTATGGCATTTTTCCATTCTTCTGCATTGAGCTTCTTTCATAGTGTTTGGCTCTCTAACTAATAAAGCTGTTACTTGTTTTGGATCATTCAAGCTTTCTGACAAGTAGGCAGTATGTTTATTATTCCTTGATTTCAGTGCTATCGTACGAGATTAAATTACTAACATTTTTATTTGGTATATACTCATCATCGGTGTTTCGTGGCTCCATAGGTGGAGAATAAATTTGTGAAACTGTGTATGCGTTTACAACTTTATTTAACATTTAAACAGTAACAAAATGATAGTGGTACATGTGAGCCCTATGAAGTTGGACGTAGTACTTTCTGCCCTTTCGCGACCAAATCCAATAACACCTTTTCCGCTCATAGAAACAGGTAAACCGTTACTTAGCGAGACAAGTAAAAAAATATATTGAGAAGTTTATAGATCTAGTGGCTAAATGCATTAAACATACTCCGCCCCGTTGAAATACAATTTCAACAAAACCCTAAGGTAAGTATGTAATATGATACATGAAATAATGAACGTAATAGTATTAGTCTAATACATGTAGGTAAAGCACAAAACTTTCTTACAGGTCGTTTTAACACTCCCGACATTGTTCTTACGGTCACAACCCGTGTCACACTATCAGGACCTGGATATAGCTGGATCACTCGGCCTAGCAGCCATTTGGATGGAGGTAGGTTTTCTTCTTTGATAATTACTAACATGCCCTCTTGTAACGAAGGTATATTCTCTTTCCATTTATTTTTTATTTCTAATTCCGATATGTACTCTCGAGACCACCTTTTCCACAATTCTTGTTTGAATCTTTGTATTAATTGATATCTGGTTACGTATTTAGTTTGATGTTCTCTAGGTTGTCCTCTGGGATGGCTGACAGTGGTCGCCCAATCAGGAAATGTCCAGGTGTTAACGGCTCAAGATCATTCGGATTAGACGATAAAGGATACAAGGTTCTTGAATTTAGAGAAGCCTCAATTTGTGAAACGTCAAACATGAATCCCCTATAACTCGTTTTAAACATCGTTTTACGCTCTTAACCCCAGCCTCCCACAAACCTCCCATAAGGCGGGGAATGTGGAGATTACTTACTTTGGAATTCCATGCAACCGAAAACTGTTGTATTTGAATCAATTGATTATTAGCACTTTAGCGCCTTTGATAAAAGCACTAATAATTTTTGTACCAAAAGGAACGTAACACAAAACAAAACACAACACAAATGAAGAATATATACAAAAGTTTAATAAGACTGAACAACACACAAAAACAACATAAGAACAACAACAAATAATAACAATATAAAACACTTACGAATTATCAAGAGGTAGACTGGTTACTGGTTACTGTACACTGGTTAATAAGTAGGAAATTTGAAGGGTATTTATACAACAGGATTGTTAGTAAATAGAGGGAGAACATTCTAGAAGGAAAAGTATTAACAGAACATGTACAGACTAGTTGAAATTGAATAGAATAGAATTCGAAGAAAAAGTAAGCGAGGGAAAGCCAGCTATTAATAAGGGTTGTTAAATAGGTATCGAAGACGATGAAATTCTAGGTAAAGATAGCGATAGCGGAACAATAGAATTTAGTTTGAAAAGAAACAAAGGCATGCACAAGATAAGAAGCGAAAGGTTTACAATATTTACACATGTACAAAAATATGAAAAATTAATATACAAAAATAGCTTTAT